TTCCCAGGGCATCGAAATTATAAGGCCCACATGGGCCTGTGGGTCACAAGTGGGGAACCCTTTTTATTTTCCCACCGAACATGAACAAACCAAACATGGTCAACCTATGAGGGAGAGTTCCCCCTACATTGTTGGCTCAAGCGATTGCTGTGCTAAGGTAGTTACCCCCTGCTTTTTGTATGTATCTTGGCCATAGGAGCAATGGTGGCCGACCATGCAGCGCTCTTGGCGTCTGCTGTCCGTGCCGCTTGTTTGCCAAAAGCAAACGCACTGTTCAGGCGCTGCGACTGCCGTCCTTGTACGGCCTCCCGTTGACTCTCCGGCCGTGGCCGCGGCAAAGTGTCTTGGTCGGTGACTACAGTTTTGAGCGCGTTCAGTTCTGCCCTGCTTGACCTAGCGTTTGGTTCATTTTCGTCAGGGATTGGAGGATGTCCCTGCCCATTTTGGGGCGCTGGTTGGGCGCCGGAAATGCAATTCGGACGATTGCTGTCCCTTTCTTAGGTTTCCGTGAATCTCAGCAGCCAGGACAGCAAATATTCTCTCTCACCAGGGGGGGGTTCCTGGCTAAACGGGTGCCATAACCCACAGCCATGATCTCTTTCTGTTCCTCACAATGGTGGGCCGGTGATTCTTCTTATCCGTTCTTTGGATCACAGCCCTACTCCCATCACATCGCCTCGCCGAGCGCCATCGCCGGGGCCCGAACACATTTGCACGAAACTCTTCATCTTCACGTCGGGCCTGGGCCGAACGTGGTCAGGGACATGAGAACGCAGGTTGGGTGGGACCATAGAATTTAGATGATGAATGGTTTGGGTATGTTTGGGTATTATATAATATCTCTATATATATATTATATGGTTTTAATAGGAACTGATGTCACCCCAAAATCCCTGCAAAGGAACAGATTCTACCATTGCATGAGCCGCCAGCTAGGGAACCAACTTGATGAAACGTTGGATCAAACCAGCTGGGACGAGAAACACATGAACCTACCCTCCCCGAATAGAAGCATGGAAGTAGAGATCACCCCCTGTCTATAGAGGATTCCAATCTCTTTTCGGCCATGCCCACGTAATGAGGACTTTGGAGAGAGGGAGGGTATATAATCGCAACAGTACCAAGAAACTTCAACAAACGCGCAATATAACAACAAATCAACACCTGAAAGGTTCACCTTATTCATACCTGGGCAAAGTCAGGGTACACCTGGAGCTCCAACCCGGATGCTCCAGTTCCACGCCCCGTTGCGCCGTGCCGGGTGCCGGAGCCGCGCCGTTGCACTGAGCGCTGGCGCAAGCTGAAGGGCACTTCGTCCAAAATGCGCTGCTTGGAGGCCCCTTGCCTCAAAAACCCGAGGCATATGAACAAGAGAAAGAAAAACACAACAATCTATATGTAGTTAGCAAAAATATAAAATCTAGAAAACCGTCTTTGAGCATAGTTATATGTAATGTTACAAGTATGCATAGTTGTAGGATGAAATAGACTTCGAGCTCTACTCACAGTGGAGCCAAGGGTTTCATCTGGTTTCATGTTCGAGTTGCTGCCACCCGATAGTCCTAGCTCGAGCGCATCAAATCTGTGAAACTCCAGGAAACTCTGGTGGTTTGATTCGACTGGTGCAGGAACTAAGGTGGTCGCCTCACATGACCCTGCAGCAACTCATTCCTTCTTTAACACCCACAGTTCCACAGTTCCTCCCCCTTTGAAAGGCCAGCTTCTGTCTACTAAGTGCTGATGTAGAGCTTAACTACTTTTCCCATATATGGCAGTAGATTGGACCCATCATGGCTACTCAAATGCGTGTACGTATACTTTGCAGGGTGAATCTGTGAGACGAAAAGAACAATTGTGGAACTTATAGGGATATACAGTGGCTACTACAGTGGCTTGAGAGTAGATGGCACATGATGGCACAATACCGGATCTCTTGGGATGCCAGTACGTTTTCATATGCCATCTACTCTGTTTCACCACTGCAGCGGAACTGACAGAGTTGACTGGATCTTGACTGGATGCTGTTGACCTCCAAGCATGATAGTTCCATCGATCCCACGACAGTCCACAACTCCACCCCACTCCCAGCTCGTGCCGAGCACGTGTGCCGAGCAGCTCTGGGTGGCTGGAAGGTTTGGGCGTCTTAGACCGTGACCCCCCAAATAGATAGAAATGCAGATCCCCCAAAAATCTTTTGGAAACCGTTTCTATCGATTTGGGGACCATAAGATAAGGCAAATAGAATAAGCTACATTGGGAATTCGACAACTAGGATGAGTTCACCCAGTGGCTGTGGGGGACTGAGTGGGGGTCTATCTATCTCCTCATCATAAAACGTACGGCGTGATGTGGGAGGCAAAAAATAGGTGGCAAAACTCCCAAGGGGTTGCATGAAAACCAACAATTGTCAAACACATCTTCTCGGGGGTGCCATCACTTCCCACTGGACTCTAAAAATCACACAAAAACACCACCGGGGAGAACAAAAACGGCCTCCTCACCTCCCGAGCTGTGTGGAAACGGCCAAACCGGACTACCCTAGGGCTTCAAGCATTCTGAGAAGGTGGGACTGGGGTGGGTTTGGGTCCAAATACCTTCCAAGGAGGTGCGACTGGAGCCCGGACCGGGCTAAACTGAGGTCCTTCCAAGGGGCACGTACCAAACTGCTGACACCGGCGTCTGAAAGTGGACGGACCTAGGTCCGGATGAGGCGCTCGGACCTTGTTCCGCCCGTAACCAGGTCCGGGTGGGTCAATGTGGAGTTTGCGGGGGGGAATTAGATAGGGGCAAGAAGATGTTGGCTTTGGATTCTTACACTAATGTAACATTCTTGGCATTCTAAAACTATATACTTCACATGACACCAGCAAACCTTCCATCTTTCGCCCAACTTGCACCTTCTCTACACTCCCCGGTCATTGTTTTTTCCGGTGCCAAGCTGCTGTAAATGGCCATTCAAGACCACCTCAATGGTCTTCACGAAGCGTCTCAGCATCCCGAAGGCCTGGGTTTGAACAAGAGGGATGACACACCTGGACCCTGATGAAACCACCAGCAACACAATGGTCATACTTTTTAAGCCTGGCTGGTCCGTTAAACGCTCTCGACATGTTTTTCTCACATGCAGTCCCAAGAAATAGATCTGCCTCCAGATTTCAACAACTGGACCCAACTGATCCAACAAAGATCTGAGGGGCTACAGACCTATTGATGTCCATAAGTGGCAGTATTATATAAGTTAAGATTACAAACATTACAATACCCTGAGAGTGTTGTGATGTTTAAAGTAACTGTGGATGGCATGGGATGTTTGGAAGCCGTCTCTTCCCCTAAGCCTCCAATCCCTCAGCATTCGGGCCTGGCGATAGATCTGCCGCTTGTGGAAGGCGGAGCGCTCTTGAAGGTAACTCGGAGAAGCCCACGCAGTGTGCGTAGGCCGCGGATATTCATCAAGAAAGATTGGAAGCAACTATCACCTTTAGCTTTCTATGCTTTCTGAGCTCATGAGAATCTCATATATCCAGCATACCTGCTACGGATTTCCCTTGAGGCTACCATCCGAAATGAGGACATCTTTCTCTGCGGTGTCCCTACTCAAGCAGCCACTTCTCTGCGCGTTAGTCGCACGGCACTTCTACGTCTTCTACGTCTTCTGGGTGCCCGGACTCGCGGGTCGTGCGGTACGCGGCCTCGCTGTCCACGAAGGTTTCATCCTCTTCCGGGAAGGGCATCACCTGTAGGGTGCTGAAAACATCAGGCATGGCTGATGGCTGGATCAGCCGAGGGGGGAAAGTGTTTCTTGCATAGAATCGCACTGCGAGAGGCAGGTCAAGCTTATGATATATTACATGCCACTCCCTTCGCACAAAGCTATGTATGGTATATTGTAATTAGCAGTAATTATAGGCGGTGGGGTTCATAGTCCGACTCGGGTCTGGCGGACTGACTTGGACTGGCAGGATTGATCAACGTGAACATCCGAGGCACATCCAAGTGAAACAGTTCAACCGTCCAAGCAGGATCCTCAGATTAGGACTATGATGCGTGCGTGAACCGGGCTTCTTTGGTTCATTTGTCTTACTGGTGTCTTTCACCTGAATCACCTACACTCCGTTGCCATCGAAGTATATCCACTCCAGATCACCTGCCATCGGTCACTGCAATCAGTCGCCTTTTTCATTTTCTCTTTCCATGCGTCGCCGTCGCTTTTGCGGTGCTCTTCCGCTCGGCTCCCCCGGTGACGTCGCCGTGTTCACAATTCCGTGACCCGATTGCGGTCCGGAGATAGCGAGCGATTGACGCATCGAGCACCCGAAAGTGGACCAAAGAACCCCCCCAAAAAGCAAGCATCCAGGGGGTCGTAGATGGAATTAGTATGAATTAGTGTAGATAGACACGTTTTGGCTACAAATTCTTGAACCAAAGTACGTAAGTACGTGGAAGACCTAGCCTCTTTAAGGCTCATTCACAGGGAATTGGGGTTCCCTTGTGCAGGATATGCTGGTTGTTGATGTTTCATCGAACTTCAGTCAGGTATAGTTCCACCCCCAAGAATGGTGTGACTGTAGTGGAAAAGATGACCTGCAGCTTTGTTCTTTCAGATGGCCAATTAAACCCATGCTAGTCTCTCAGGCTAGTCTCCAATCTTGGCAAGTAGCTTGACAGATCAAAGAGAAGAAGAACCTCAAAACCGGACTCCGCGCCCAGCTGATCGATCAGTGACCTATTCGTTGCCGGCATCCATTCAGCGACCGGACCACACCGAGGAACCCCAGCAAACCCGAGCGACCGACCGTCTGGGGACCCCAAAGGGCGACCAGTCTCGGTGGTCTCGGAACTCGTTCGATCTTCGTCGGTTCGAACGGACCGTTGTCGCTGGTCTCGTTGGAAAAGCCTGCAGCGGTTGGATGATTTGGCATGCGCTGTCATGTCTGTGGATGTTCATTTGAGACAAGACTGGTCCAATGTCTCGGTGGTAAGGTGTTATGAGGCGTTGTTTTAATGGATACTTGGATGAGACTTGTCGACATACTGGGCATTCTAAGCCCCATCTGTTGGAACCACGGTCACCCGCAGCCAACGTGCTGCGACGAGCTGGCGCGAGGAACTCGTGGGGATCACCTCGAAAGCACATGTTGAACAAAACAAAAGCCAACCAAACTAAGAGCGATGGTACAAGCGATGGCCTCCAACCTACTTGTAAACTACACACAAACACACCAACACATGCGACACACCCCAACATTCAGTTAGTATACCGGTACAACTTGCCGACCATGAAACATCACCCTACAAAATCTATCCAAGAGTTGTCCTCTGCGTAAGCGAGTGTAAAAATAGGAGGATCGCTCTTGCGGGCTAACCGTTAGTGCCAACCAACCACCGACCAACGACCACTGCCGGTGGGAAGCATCGCATGGAGCTGAAGGAACCGGAGGAAGAGATGAAACATATATGGCCCATTCACTCAAAAAGAACATCAGAATCACCCTAAGCAACACCAAGTTATATCCATGATATCACAGTTTTAATCCGGCCAGCCGGAGGGAGACGGGCAGGGGCCGCCCAAGGATGTTCTTCCTGTTACGCTGTGAGGCTTCCCCGTGCTCACCACAAGAATCAGGTGCTACCACACCTATAATCTTGGGTATGTCCCATAGCAACGGTGGATGATGATTATGATGTTTAGCAAGCACCATTTAAAACAGAACAAACATGACAATCATTTGCAACTCTTTGCCAGTTGTTCCTCTTATTATGGGACACACCCTTAATGATACAGGGGTCTCACTCATTCTAAATCTAGCAGGACTTTGCTTGTCGTAGCTGTAGGTCACAGCGGTGTCAAGCAGGTCCTCCGATTGATGGTTTCGATAAACACCCCGCCCAACCACTTGGTTTAGGGCTGAATCTCTTCCTTTTTGGCTAATTTGCTGATGCTTTAGTTCTTCAACTCCATCAATCCCCCACAAAAAACATAAATTAATGGAACAACCTGCCTTGGTCTCCAATCCACGCGTCTGGTACCTCAAAAAAAAAAGGGCCCTTCACATGCCCCCGAACCCCAGGCTCGCTGCCTCTCCGCAGGCCGAGGGGCAGCCCTCGCATCGGCGAGGCGCCTCACTGCCCCTGGTAGGTGAAGCCATCGAAGTGAGGCCCTGCACCCCGGCCATCCGCCTCGGAGACGCCCAAGGGCATGTCCACCTCAGCGATACGGCGAGCCCCAGCGGAACAATCCACAAACTCAAGGGGGGTAGAGTTGAGAAGTGTTGAACACGCCCCCGTCCTGGTCTCCATGCGAAGCCAATAGCCACTGGTTCTTTGATACAGCTTGTCCTTTCCGCATGTCCCAAGACCGCTTAAGTCGGCGGGTGCCGATGGAGACCGCGACCGCTCCGGGCAAGGCACGAACTCCTTTTCGAAGTTGGAGACGTCGCCAGCCCCGGCGACCTTCGGCTTGAAGGGTGGCGGCACTTGACCTCGCGAGACTTGCACTTGACTTGCAAAGAAGAGCTGAGTCAGGATATGATGAAACACAGGGTGTGCGGATCATGCACATGCTACAGAAATGATAGAAATGGTTCTGAGTTCAGAAAAGCAACACGTAAATATATATATATATGCTTATATTTATATGCAATATATATATATAATCTATAATTAGTAAGATTATATAATGGTTCCTTTTTGGTTTGGAATGTTTGGAACCCTTTGTTTGGCCGGTTTCCCCCATGTTTCACTCATGCACTCTTGGGGTGCCAGTACACCGACCACACCGTCTTCCGTCTGACCCTGGGTGCCCTTCGTCTTCGCCAAAAGGCATTGGTAGAGCAACTGCCAGTCCACCGCCCCGAAAAAGGCGTGGGCTCGCACCTCGGCACCTCGGACCGTGCACAACTGCCATCGCGAGCCAAAGAGAGCGGAGGGAGCCAGGTGCAACATGATGGCCCCCAAGAAATAGACCTGCCCGGGGATTGATATGGCTTCTATCCATGCAAAAGTGAATGGCAAACATCGATGCTAGTAGGTTAGATGTTCCAAGTGCTCAGGGGAATTGATTGTCATGCATTGTCATCGTTGCTTTGCCGAAAAGGCAATCGAAAGGGCAAACAAAGGGAGAGTTGGGAGAGCATCATGCATCTGCTCTGGAAAGAGCAAACGGCAAGCATACAACTCAGGTCTTCCAAACATGCAATGCTTAGGTACCAAATGTCCATCAGCTTTAGGGATCCTACAAACCAATTCGCAAGAGTGACGGTGCCCAACATCTTCATTCATCCCAACACCAAGCTCAAGTAAAACCAACAAATCCGCCGGCCGCTGCCTAGCACTTCTTCTCAACACACATCTCACACCGAGTGTTCACTGCAAACTTCGATATGGGAGGGCGATATGGTCCTTGGTCCAGTCCCAGCTGCACCTGTCACCTGTAAAACACTCGACTGCGGCCACTGAGAGCGGCGCCATCCCCTGGGCCACCGCCCAGGCGGGCTTCGGGCTGACGGTTAAGGAGGCCCTGGAGGAGCGATTTGGAGACCGGGCTGATGTACTGCCTGGCGCGAGACGGATCCCAAAAGAGCACTGGATTGGTAAAATAGATCCGAAGTTGTGGACAACCTCCGCCCAAAAAGTCTTGCAACATCTGCAATGGCAAAAGGATGAGCCGACGTTCGCCAAGCAAAGACTACACGAACAAAACTATCATCAGGTGCTGCGGTGCTGCAAAAGCACGTCGGCGGAGGCTGGAATAGGCCTTCTGGAAGACATGTCAAGGAGAAAGGACCAATACTTCAGTAGGCAGTTGATTCAGAACCCCACCTTGGATTGTAAAAACTATTCGTGTGGGAGGGTACTATTGATCAAAATTTCTGCCTCAATTGTCTCCTCCTTGGGGCCCTTGGAACTTCCATAGTTTGTTGTTGAAAGTCCAATCCAAAACACTTTCTTCGACAGCTTAAGGCTTGAGGACCAATGAAACTTCGCTGACCAAAAGAGTGCAACGCAATGCACGATCAAAAGATGATCGTCTACATAAGCCTATCAATACATCAAAGTTGAACTTTATCCTGGTGGGAATTGTCCTTTAAACATGTTAAACCACTTTTTTCATTACAGATGCGAGAATACACCACCCCTGGATGGTATCCACAAGGGGTGTCTTGGTCGTGGATAAGAATTGTATCCAGCAAATCTCCACGGATGATATGATTAGCATATGGGGCCAACATGCCAATTGTATAGTCATGAGTCTTGTGTCTATCGGACGCCGCCGATCTCTGATGACAAACATGCATTTTCCCATGAAACCGACACAAAAACCGTCTTCAAAGACTCTCTTCCCTGTCTTTCCGGCGATGAACATAGCAGGGTTGCTAAGTTGCCAGAACCAGTCTGTGGGATTTGAGCTTGGATTTCTATGGTCAACCGAAAGGTGAACTCCCACGCTCTTGGAAGCAATGCACCTAAAATACATCCTAAACTGCACTAACGGTGAAACTTGAAGCTACTTCTTCTCCGTTGGCGAATTTGAATCACTCCGTGCCAAGCGGCGGGTATTGCAAGGCAGCCCTCCGGATGCGATCGAAGAGCAAATTTCGATCCTCGCGAGGCCGGCTGCCACACAACTTGTCAGGTGGACCATGACACTGGGATGCTGTTGATTGGTCAGGTAGTCAACCTTCTGTGTCAACTTCAGGTTGCAGGTTGCGGATGGATGATCTACGGTAGCATGATCTACAGTATTGGCCCATGCCTAGCGGCCCGGCTGGAACAGGCCTGTCTTTGCCTACTCGTATTGACTCTGCAAAGGCACTGAATCCAAGCGCTGCAACCTGGAGACAGCCCCAGGAAAATGGCTCCGTCCTGCGTATAGTACGGAGGCAGTCCGGTGAGCATCTCGTAGCACAAAGCACCTAATGAGTACCTGCAGGATCATGCCACCATGACAAGCTATCCTGAGGCATAAGCACATGTCTTTACCCGGGAGCCCAACAAAAACCGTTGGATCACCTTCTTGGAGTTTTGACCAACGGCACAAGCCTTCAACAAGCGGGAAAGACCTGGAACTCACTGATGCTCAACACTTGCTCTCTGACAGAATGGCTTTGAACACAAAGGCTTGTGATTCTTGGAGATACGATACCTATCATCCATTGAAAACAGAGAGAGCCAATGCTAGTGGAATGGATCACTGAACTTCTTACAAACAATTATGTACAAAGTAACGCGTTCATCCTAGGATGAACGCATCAAGACCTCTACACCCGAGCTAGGAGACCAAAGGGTCTTGGTATCCCAAGTCAATGCCGGTAGACTCAGGGCTGGTCTCTGACTTCTTAGTGATAATCGTGGGTGTTCTCTGTTCCCACCCATGCATCTCTTAAGAAAACAAAATAATTGCTATTTTCTGTCCAAACGCTTCAGGATGCCACAGGTGTGCAATAGAAAACGTATATATAAAACTAAACTTATCTCAACAACTCCCAAGGTACCAGTCCACTGCCTTTCCATGGCCTTTGCTATCCAGAAGCTCTGGCGCCAAATACTCGGGGGTCCCGCACATGGTCCGGGCCGAAAAGTTGTCGCAAATGCCTCGCTTCGATGCCGTAGCGGGTTGGATCACGACGAGCAACCAGGGACTGGAGCGCGGGATTCCAGCAGATACAAAAGAATATGACTCACATGGAACCTGAACAAAGACCATGGGAAGAGCAGTTTCCTCTACAAGACTCTTTTCAGGTTCTATGTTACTCTGCACGGGTGCGCCGTTTAGGTTCTATGTTGGAAAAAGGTGTCTTCGAAGTATGGACCACGAGTGACTGACATTGGACACAACAAGTTCTACGCGGGAAGCACTTGTAGGAGTTGGGTTAAGATGAAGCAACATGCAAAAAATACATGACGCAGGACTTAAGCAATTATATCAGTGTTGATGTAGTTGAAGACTTTGGTATTAAAGATTCCAACTAAGATTCCAGTATCGAGACGAAACTGCCACTACAATAAACACATTTTTTGTAGACCAAATACTGCTAGGGATCCTAAACCTCAGGTTTGAACCAACAGCCCTTTCTTTTGCAACTCACGCCTCCGGGTGACACATCATTTAGCCAATGTAGCCTTTTGATAAGTAAACCCCCATGTGAAGAGGCTATATTTAAAACAAAATCAATAATCCAGAATCCAAATAAACCGGCTGACAGTCCAGCGAAGCTTCGCTTGTTTGGTTGTTTGATCTTCCAAAGCCAAACTCCAATATGGAAGCCAAGTTCAATAACATTCTTGCAGATTACTCTAGCCGCTAGCCACCGATTCTTTTTGCGGAAGTTCTGCCAAGAAACCCTCCTTGCTGAGCCCGAAATCCGTCAACTTGGCGTGGCCGTTCTCATCCAAAAGGACGTTCTCTGGCTTCAAATCCCTGGTAGGCAAGTCAATATGGAGAATTCAGAACGTGGATGTTTGGCACTTTGGAGATGATGACTACATTACTGTTGGCGGATGAACATCAAAAAAGACACAGAGTTCATAGACCAGGCAAACTATGATTTAATGTTGGTTAGTTCGTGCAGTTTTGACGAGCCAAACTTTGGCAGCTTGATTGATGAACTTCAATTGTTGGAGTTGCAGCAGCTACAATCTGTACTGCGCAAGTTTGTTCCACAAAGAAGGCTGGCCATCCAATTTTCCCAGCTTGTTGGGACACAAGGTATCATCAGTTCGAACAGGAAACTGCTTGCAGCAGCAATGAGATGGATCGAAGGTACAGGTTACAGTGGAGCTCAGGCCCTCTACAAACCCTCCAGCTTCCAGCTGGTCTTGCAGCTACTGAGCTACTCATGTAATGCAGTAGGGAAGCTTCAGGTATTGAGCAGCTTCTGCAATCACAAACTTGGCCGGAGGGTAAAGGAATAATGACCGCACAGTGTGGTGTTCAGTTGGAACCTGTGCAGGGGATAATGGGATATAACCACCATGCACACGAAATTTGCGTCTCCATTTCAGGTCGCAAGTCATCTACGTACGTACCTCTTTTGATATCTTATTTTGCAACAACTGTTTCATATGGTCTCATCATGAAACGTGGTACTCTCCTGCAAATTAACATGAAAGTCCAAGACTACTGGGTTGGTATTCAGAAAATGGTCGAAACTACAGGTCAATTCTCACGTTCCACGTTAGTCTGCGGGGGGGTAATCTGTCCAAAACCGCGGCAACCGGTGATGTTTCACCCAGCTCGTTGGACCGGCCTGAAGATGATATTCAAGCTGTGCAGATATTCCAACGCCAGCAAGAGCTCGGAGGTGTAGAACCTCTCCCACGGCACAGGATAGACATACACCGTGGGAAGGTGAAACATGGTGTGTCCGAGTGTCTGTTGAAAAGATGTTTGGACAACCCATGGCAGTGGGGACCAAACAGCATCTGAATTCTGCGATGGGAATCCTGAATGGAAAGAGATGCAAGATCCACATCAGTGAGGCTGATGCAAGCTCCCTTCAACCGCTTCCCAAACAACATGTTCCTTGATGAGGGTTGACGAGGGCTATGAAACAACAACATACAGAAAATTGTCCTATTTTCGGTTGAGGGTCCTAGACATCCTTAAGGGTTGGGTTGCAACCGTGCAGGAAGCAAGTGTGCTCCCCTATATGAACGAGTCTAGCAAACAGTTCGAGGCTTCCAAAGGCTGAAATTGCCTAGTCTCCAGCCATTGTGGACCCAGCCATGAGAAAGCCTCGAACAATCATGATCAACGTATCCAACTTCTTTGACGGACCTGCTCCTGTTTCGCCCCAACTGCCCAAGGCCTTTGTTTGATCTTTCAACGCGTTTGTTTCCACGCGCCGCCTGGTGCGGCCCTCCGAGAAGCGGCCGGCACGGCTGAGGTGGAAGAAGAGCTCACCGCCGGGGCAATAATCCAAGACCAAGTAAAGCCTGCGTTGTTGGGCTATCTTGCCCATTGTTGGTGTTGAGGTGAGCAGCTAAATAAGCAGCTAAGTCATTTTGGCACACGGCTCATTGAGCTGCTCACCTCAACAACAACAGCGGGAAAAATAGCGCCAAATAGCACCGCGCGCGAAAGAAAGGCCCCGTGCCGGGCCGTCCCCGGCCCTGTACCTATCGTTCTGCCCGGTTCTGCCGTGGTACAGCCAAATCGATGTAGAATGGTAAGTGAAATGATTCAAAATGGACATGACTTCCAGGTGGGATGTTGCTATAGCTATACTATAGATTATATATAATACACACCATTTTGCTGCCAATGGATACTTTGACCACGCTTTAACCCAGCCTAGTAACTCGTACAACAGGTTTTGTGATCCATCACGCATGGGCCACGCATAACGAGTTCATATCGCGGTGAAAACGCTGGACCAACTGTACTAAAACGGGAATAGGCCAAAGCCCTTCCACACTTGAAGCTCATGCAGTCTCGGTGCGGCCACAGTTCCTCCAAGGTTGGATCATGTTACCGTATGTCACGAAGTCGGTGTGCCCGCTGAAAGAACCTTTTAAGGACATACGAAACACTAGCTAACTACACTGACCGACCCGGTTTTGAGCACGCCAAAAATCATTTGAAAGAACACATCTATATACTGAGCAAGCCATATACAGTAACAATCTCAACTCAAACTGATCTCCTGGACCTAGTGTTTCCCATCCTAAGGGCTGCAAGGCCCAAGAACCCGATGCAAACTGCGTGATGTCCATCCGTGCCCATCTTAACTCCCAAGGATTCTAGCAATCTCCCTCATGCCGAATCGGCATGAGGCTCAGGCAGCATGCGGCCAAGCGACTTCTTTGGCGTTTGGAAGGCGTAGTGAAGGGACACGATGAACGGGTGAGACACGTGCTCCAGTACATTCCTCTCAGTCTTGGTGTGCTCCACTTGATTACCTCGGGCCATCAATTGTTGGCTGGCACCACAAGCAAACCTATGCAAACCTCATGCATCTGTCTCCCACAGGTCATGTTCTGATTTTTTTTTTGCATAGGGGGGTTCTATCTCATCAATCCTGACTGACAGTTGCTATTGCTAGGGCAGGACTAGTGACTACTGAAACCAGAAACTGCCCGGGACCCTGTACCTGAGGAATAGTGTTAAGAACAGTACGCTGCCTAATTATGTGGCAACTGCATTTTTGTGGGGCTCCTTCCAACATTTCCACCCACAGCACCTGCTTATGGTGAGTTGATCGCTAAGAATGCTGGTTCCTCAATTTGGTGATGTTTCAACTCCCTGAAGCATGCAATTCGCATGTTGCTGAGTACACCGAAATGCCAGAATTGCTGACACTCAGAGCAAAACCTGCTCCCTTTGCGAATGAAGACCGGCCGCGGCCGGTGAGTTCAGCAGTTTGGCAAACAAGGCCAAGTCGTTCTCATGATGTCCGGCCCGGGCGTCCGTCCGGCCCAGTGTCAACGCCCCGATCCCACGCTGGCGACAGGACATCACCCCAGGAACGGTTCAGGACATGCTCTTTCCGCAACATCTTCATGGCGTAGAGCTTCTCGGTCCCTGAGTCCTTGTGGCGAACCAAGAAGACCTTGCCATAACCTCAGGCCACATTTGTTCTCCAACCCTTTTCGGGTGGCGGGGTCCGGTTGGGTTGCCACGTCGGTCGCGTCTCGTCGGACCGTCAGGCGGTGCGGTCCGAGGCGTTCCGAGCGGGACGCGTTCCGAGCGAGGCCTGCGGGACGAATTTGTTTTGCTCGGTTCTGAGACCTGCAGTGTTTGGGCCGGGAGTGGTACCGACTCCGCTTGTCCACCGGAAAGCGTGTGTTAGACTTGGGCTCATTTCAAGGGGTTCAGGAGGACCCCCGAGAAGGAGCACTGACATACCACCTGGAATGAGCAATGAGAGAAGAACATCATTGCTAGTTCCAACACTTTGGGGAGGGTGCGGTACTCACTGTACTCAACCACAATGCAGCGCTCGCGGAGTCTGTCAGTCAACCTGGAGAACTTGGAGTTGCTTCGCATTCCAATAAGGGTCGCCAGAAAGAACACACCAACAAAGGCCAAAAGCAATGACAGTGACTGGCCCATTGAAAATCGCCAAGTTGGGAGCCCTCCGCAAAGCACCTGAAAGACGCACAAAACGTTGCTTTCAAATGTCTTCAGCAAGTGCGGACGCCCATGTTCCACTCACCTATGGCCAACAAAATGCCACCCCCCTTGCAACTGCTGGATCTACAGTTAGGAGTATCTACCGGATGTATGGCGGCCTTAGGGATGCGGTGATGCTCAGTTCGACCTGATTTCTCCACATGATCAATGATCAGCGGAGAAATAACTGATACCCCCTGGATCATGTCTTTAGACCAACGGAACACATCCAACATGGACTGATCTACACTACCCGACTACCCACTCTTATATCACCCCTTTGGAAGAAACCGAGACGGCAGCATCGACCCGACCGGTGAGAACGCTCTTGAAGGCGAAACCGGTTCATCCGAGGAGCTGCCTTTGCCCAAGACCCGCAAGCTCTCGAAATCATCTAAGGTAGGAGCCGCCATGCCCCGCGACCTGCTTCGACCTCCGATCCAAGGCGGAGAACTGATGGAAGACTTGGTGTAGCAAAGCTTGATGGTAGAAAAGGACATGATGTGGGCGACTGTCATCTGATGGTGGATCGTAACACTATAGATCAAAAGTTGGGGGGCCGGGAGATGGTGGGTTCACGCATTTCTTGGAATCAGGACAAAGCAACGATTTCAGTCCCCCAGGATCGTTGCATGTAGGCATAATTATATTCCTCCAACAACATGAGAAGTGTTTTGAACATCAAGGAATCTCTTGTCTGTGGCGAGGCCTTCTGTCCTGTTGGATATAGAGAAAACCTTTGACATGGCATCTGTTTGCATACAAGAGACGATGAGGAAGGTGAGTAATGGTCCTTGGCGCAAGCTCACGGTGCAGCAACAAGTCACTGGCTAAGTCCCATTCTCCATCTCACCTGCCTCCGCCTCCGTCTGGCAGAACGCTTCGCCCTTCTTCGCCAGGAGTCTTTGGAGCTCGCGCTCGCACTGCGCCACGTCAGGCAGGATAGGCTCCGTTGTTCTCGCTTCGCGGGCGGGGGTCCGCTGGAGCCAAATCCGGCGATGACGAGGACTTCAGCGTGGGTCGTCACGGTTCGACGTGGAAAAACTCAGGAAGCAGTTTAAGCAGTTCTGGTTTCCAAAAATACGATGGGATCTCAGTGAGACCTCTTCCCGGTGCATCGCTCCATAGAGCTCGCTTGCTCCAGGCTCGCTCGCTTCGCACTGTTGAGAGGTTTGTTTGGTCCAATTAGACCGTGTCCAAGAGTTGTGGTCACTGTTGCTAGTGGTGAACAAATTGGCCTCCAAGTCTCCAAGTGGCCCAATCATGCCAAATCATCCTGAGCCTTACATAGGTGCTTGCCTGGATAGCGATGCGCACCGAAGCAGCCCCCAGGGGTAGCAGTACTGCATGCTGTTGTAGGATCCATATTTAGCGAAACGACTGGAGGACTTCGGTTTGCAGCTGTGTTGATCTCTTGAGCGGTTTGCCTCCCAATGACCTCAATTATGTTTTGGATTGTTTTGGACCAACTAACACAAATATGGTCTGTCCTATCACAACAAAGATCAAACATGGCTTCTTGGTGTATATATATATATATTATATCATACGGCCTCAAATCTATACGGCCTCGAGGAGTGTCGTGACGAACTACCAAACTTCTACGTACCGGAACAGCCGGAACACTACGCACCATACTCCTCTCTATAGACTAACGTGGACCCTTTCTTGAAGACCATTTTCCGAATTGCGACCCAGTGGTTTTGAGGGTCTTTTTGGAAGGTCTAAATTGGCATCGCGCCAATCTGCCACTCCTCAGAACATGATCATCCACTTCCTCCGCCCGAGCAAGGCGCGTCCACGCAAGCCTCGTCTCGGAACTGCGTGCTATGGTTAGAGAGCTCCAATACCAGCTCTAACCTCAGAACAAATGAACAGGCTGTCCTCGCAACAGCAAAAATCATGTTCAAAGTGACTGCCAATCTTGCATTAGTGCAGGATAGTGCAGGTTGATTGAACAAAATTGAAGAGAAAAAGGATGAAAGGGGTGTATGTGCACAGTGGGGAGGGTTTCTTTCAAACTCGATGCTGCATTGTTCGCTGTCTCTAAATGTCTCTAGTGATTAGTTAGATGAGTCTTTACGCGAACTGCTCTTTCATGCTCTTTCACTTGACCGCTTCGGCCGCAACGCCCCGCCCCTTCTCACGCCGGCGGATCCCAACAAAGGAAGTGCCAATTGGGCTGCATCATCAAAACGGAGCTCTTTCATGTGGTTCAATGATGTTCAATGTGCATTAGTGTGAGATCCATTTGCAATGGATCAAAAGAGACCGCCACGCGGCTGGAGCCTTGTTTCATTGAGCTGTTCCTTGGCTCCCTTCTGCCCCATTTGGGGAGGTGAAAAAGGACACCTTGGTGCCCGGACAGTGCGAAGCCCTCGGAAAAGACCATGCCCAACTGGTCATCGTCCATGCTCTGCACCGCGGTTCCAGTTCCCACGACGGCTCCCGCAACACGAGACGAGTCTTCTTCGCTGGTCTGCATCTGGTTTCAAGGGTGCACCAAACAAGTTGGACACTGAAGTGAGTGAAACAGATTGAAACAGAATATATGGCAAGACTATCAAAGACTGCGTGTACACCGAACCTACCAAACCCGCGTGTGCATGCCAGGCACATTGAAGTAGGCAACTTAAAACTCCAAGTGTGACGGGGATTTGCTCTGTTTGAATGGTGGGGTGTTCAGAAGTTGATCCATGAAATGCATGATGCAGTGCACTTTAATTCTGATTGAGCTCGGAAAAGTTAACAAATGGCCGGCTAAGACTGGCACAATCCTCTAATCATTCATAGCCGCATAGCACTCCGCATAGCCTATGTCCTTATATAACCTATATAAATCCAGTAGCAGCGATCATTTATTTCTTCAACCATTTTCCATAGGTTTCTCTTGTGGGGACAAATTCAGGAACCTCAAAACCAGGGGCCGCGCGTTGTACATGATTGAAAGCCGAAACCCGTGGAGCTCTCCCAATGGGCGACGCTTTCGGGGGTCCAAAAAGGAGCGTTCCGCGCAGTGTGTTAGAAGACAAGGGCCTCCAAAAGCTCAGTCACCAGGGCGCTGTTCCGCGCGACGGCCGCATAGACCTCTTCAGGTCCAAGGCTTGACGAAGGCTCTGAAAGGCGATTTTAGGCGACTGGACCCAGCGGACATGGACCTGGAAGGAAGAACCGGAAGCCCTAAGGCTTATTAAGGACATGATTTTTTGGAGGGAGTTGCAAAGACTTTTTGAGAAAAAAAGGCAGCAACCTGGACTTCGCCGGCTTCTTCTACTGAACAACGTGTTAAAAACTGTACATTGGCACTCAAGAGTGTCATACACTTGGGATAATGTCACTAGCCTGAATGAAATACAGTGATTGCCTGAATTGAAACCCATGAAAGGCAAAAATGAGGAAAGTCTTCCATACAAATTCAACTGGGCTGTTCAGTATTGGATAGATTACAAAAGTGTGGCCCTCAATCGGCCCGAGACCGTCGGGCAGGACATGGCAGAACATCCAAATCCACTCATGCAGCTCTAGTGGTCACCCCTAGCTACTAACAACCATCGATGGTTTTAGAATCCATGGACACCAAAAAGCTCTTGGGTCATAAGTCAAGTCCGATCTACAAGTCGTACCTTGAGTATTGAGGCACACCTACGCAGGGTACCGTGTACCCTGTACATCTTAGGCATTGCGCCATCCGGGGCGTCTTGCCCCTCGTGCCGCACCGACGGCATCCGAGGTCACCAAAGACGGATCGGCCTCCGAGGGATCCGCCTGAGACAGCGTCAGGGGGCTGACGCGGGGACGCGGCAAGCCTCTGCTGATCAATGCAGTGATGAACAATGACAATAATTACGTTGCCTTGCAAGGCCTTCAACTTGGAAATGTTCACATGAAATCATGTGTTCTTCTTCTCCATGAAATGACATCACTAAATAACAATCGTTCTCAAATCAACCCCAGCTTCCTTTAAACTTCTGCAGAATCTCACCTCAACGACCAAGAACATTCAACCAGTGGGATGCTGGAATGTTGCTGGAACATGCTGGAACTGATTCACGGTTTGATTTGGCAAGTAGCTTTCTGCAAGCCCTCAAGAAACAGATCCTTGAATATTGCGGTGGTTGAGCTAATACACATCCATGCTCTCACATAAATATACTGTGCTGAGACTGTGCTAACAAATCTAGCATTTATACTAGTTCATTCCCAAAAGAGTATTTGTAAGGGAAGCGCCTCAAAGAATCGACCAAGACTTGACCAAGATCTGTCCTTTGGTCGCCACCCACACAAAAACCGGCATACCAACAAAGGTTGAAGGACCCTAATACACTATACCGATCTATACCGACTATACCATAGGTACCCCAGGTGACGGGTCCTAGTTCAGGTCACTTAACCTCCCTTGGTCTTCCCCAGTCGTGCCTGTGGCAACATCAGCTGATGCAAGTTCCCGTCTAACGGCACTGCCGTCAAGGTCTGGCGCGTCACCTGCTCCACCGTGTTCCATCGGTGTCTTCACAAATGAAACCCACGGTGTGGAGGTGTTTGTTGTGTTTGGAACAGGATTCCAATGAACCCACCCATGATTTTTCCCAAACAAACGATGGATGATGTGGAGATCCTTCATGTTCAGGTCATATATGAGATCCTTAGCTTCCAGATCTGGAAGCTGGATTTCAAGCTCTACCCACACAGGGTGGTTCTTATAAATCAGCACCCACTATGATGATCCGTTGGGTCCAAAATGGGTTCAAGCAACATCTATCCCACTTGTGGGGAAAAACTGCGCTACTTACTACCACAGCCCTCCGCCGGACTCCGACTCTCTCTCTCTCTCTCACTGCTCGGAGAATAAATGAAAATAACATGGATCTACTTTGACAAAGAAGCTCCTCATGCACATCGAATTTCAGAATGCTTATCTGGAACGCCGGCCACGTGGGAATCTGGGAACCAGATTCAGCCGCATCTCCCACAATGCCCCAAAAAGACACCAGCATAGGCCTCGAGATAAACCGCTCGTCTTTTGGTTCTGCAACTTTGCAATGGTCACCCAGGACAGTGGTCACGCCGAGCCGCTCGCTCGTGTGGATTCACCAAGCATTCTGCTCGTGTGGTGCAGGGAGTCCGATTATACAACAGGTCGGAGGCAGCAACACTCGTGAGGACGTATGGGTACTGTTGTGGGGGGTCATGGGAGATGGGGTGAACAATTCGAGTTCTTCAACCATTGTTTACCTCCGAGAAAAGAAAGTCGACATCTTCAAAACCTTCTTGGACATCTCAAAGGCTCTCCGGACGTGAATATCTATCCAAGTTTGGGATGTGGACAACTCAAAGGCAAACAGGCTTCAGGTTAGATGATTAATCGGTGGCTACTCTTGATGCACATCTATATAATAAGTAGATCGAACTCTTGTTCTGATCCACCTTTTCATGCAACATGTCCGCAGCCCATCCGCTCTCCAATCACGAAAATCCGCAACGACCAGCGACCTGTCCCCACAAGACTACTCTTGCACCACAAGTCGAGCCATTCATGTGCCATTACTCGCATAATGGCAGGGTGAAACCTTTAAGCTTGCCTGGAGAAGGGAGATGAAGAACATGAAAGTGGAACTCCAAGAGGCTGGAAATCAAATTCATATATATATATATATATGTTAATTTGGTTTAGTTTGTCTTCTCTATCCTTCTTCCCTGGCATGCCAGGAGGCATCCATTTCACTCATTTTGCAAATGTGGCTCATCGCCTCAAAACTGAAACAGCTGCTTTGCCGCGTTCACCCGCGACTTGCAACCTCAAAACTGCCGGCCACGCTGCCGAACTCACCGTCGGCAACTCGCGTGCGGGTGAGCACATGCACCCGAGTGCGTGCTGCAACCCGTCGCCGGTCCAAGCGAAACGGAGCTTTGAGATAGCCATATATCTTGTTGGAGGGATCCAGTCCAGTCTATCGTTTTATCCAGGTCCTAAATTGTCTTGTCAGAAGGATA